TTTTTTTTGTCACATAGGATAAACTTTGTTTTTGTTTCAAAAAGACAAACAGCGTTAGAATACAACACTTGATGGAAGTGTTCCTTAATTGAAAGTGCCAAAAGTTTTATTTTTTGCAACTTAGAAATGAATGTTGTGATACGGAAACTACACAAACAATCATTGTAGCTAGAAAGTCAAACAGTTACTCCGCAAAATTCTATTGCAAGTTTTTGTCGGATCCTAGTGGCAACCATCGCAAGACTTCCGTTACTTTTTTCATTGTACATTCCTGCTGTTTCCTCATCACCATGTGATGAGAGCTTCAAAGAAATCTGTTGCATATCGCTCTGCCGTATTGTAAATAAGGCATTATAGGTACTGTTCAATTTTCCAGCAGGTTTAGTAAACATTTAGCTGTTCAGTACAAGTTCAGAGTAGTGAGAGACTTTGTTTCTCCCAAGTCAAAAGATTCATAACACTACAAGCTGGCCAATTCTTAAACGACAGGTCAGAAAATGTTTCCAGTACATAATAGATGCTCATGCAGGGCCTTCATTACATCGGTCAATGGCTTTGTTTTTTGTCGGAGGTTAGTCCAGTAGAAAACGTACTGTAACAATTCGAGTAGAAAACTCCACTCCAATTGTCGATTTTGATTCCCGGTTGAAAGTGTTTCTCGCAAATCGCGATAAGAGGTTTGATTTGCCAACCCCAGAGTCGCCGATCAGAATTACTGTAAATCGTCTATTAGAACATAGCTTGAGAATGGTATCGATTGTTTGCAGATTGCAGTGAGACTGTTTTACTGCGATCTCAGTCAAAACAATTTGTCTCAAACCTTTGTACAAAAAATCGTATTCGTCTCCATTGATAGCCATTTCGCAGCTCCTTGATATACTGTGACGATAAGAACCACTGTAAACGCAAAATTTTTGCCTGAAAAAATCGAATTCTGTTTATAAATACTTTACATCGTACTATTCATCAAAAGAGAAAAAATATAAGAGATAAAAATTGCAAGAAGTCAGAACCGATCGTGGTAGAACGTTATCGAGTGCAAAACTATTCACGATTGATAGCAAACATTCTTGCTGGCATATCGCACCAGCGGTTACGAGCATTATCAATGCCTACTTGTTCAGCTGCGTTTCGATGGAAGAGGAAATCGTGCCTACCAAATTTCTCCGATTTGGATTGCGGTTTCTTGAAAAACGCAATACTATCAACTCATGGATTGTTTGCATCCTCACTTTATATATATCTTTCGATGTAGTACACCAGAACAGAATTTTTTCCATGTTTTTTATTCCTTTTGTAGACACGAAATTAATGCATAATCCTGGATGGCAGCACCGACTATGTGAAGCATGACTGAAAAAGCTTATGCATCTTTACAGACTAT